AGTCAGTCAGTCAGTCAGTCAGTCAGTCAGTCAGTCAGTGTGTGTGTGTGTGGGTGTGTGTCTGTCTATCTGTCTGTATGTGTGTGTGTGTGTCTGTCTGTGTGTCTGTGTGTCTCTGTGTGTGTGTCTCTGTGTGTGTGTCTCTGTGTGTGTGTCTCTGTGTGTGTCTCTGTCTGTGTCTGTCTGTGTGTCTGTGTGTCCGTGTGTCCGTGTGTGTGCGTGTCTCTGTGTGTCTCTTCTTCTGCACAGCCAAAGGAGAGCGCTCGGACCCCCCCCCCTGCGCGCGTCCGCGCCCTGGTCCTTCGTCTGGAGTCGGCTCTGACGACAAGCTGAGGCCGGTGGTTGACAGCTCATGACCCTTGTTACATAGAACACTAGACCCCCGGCCTCGTCGTATCTGAGGCTACTGCTTGCTCTGTGTGCCTTTTGGCAGCATATTGCTGCACACACAGCTGGTCTGCACTGGCGGTCCCTGTCCCCCCAACAGCACACTCCAGACATGCACAACATGCTTACAAAGTGTCGAAAGCTTCCCCCGGGACGGCTTCGTGCTTTCACAAGTCTGTACAAGCCTGTACTGTGTGGAAAGGTGCAGGTCCCATAAGCAGCGACATGTCTATAGAGAGCCCCCTACTACAATATTCAACTTTGTCGCTCTCTCTCTCTCTCTCTCTACCAGGTGGGGCTCTCTCTCTTTCTTTCGGCAGGGTTATGGGCAAGGAGGTTTCCCCCCATGCCCGCGCGCAAGTCGGCGCCCCCGACATGCGCGGGAGGCAGTTTGGGAAAAGGCGCTCTCAATCAAGGCTAGTTTAGCTCGCTGAGAGTTTGCGCACCACATGAAGGCATAATGGCATCGGCTCAAGAAACAAAGTCCCAACTCCTAGAAGCACAAGTAAGCTAAATGAAAAGGCTTTGCTGATGCCATGCATGAGTGGTGTCTCTCTTGCTTGCTTGCTTGCACGCCGTTTGAGGCGTGTCTCTCTCTCTCTCTCTCTACCAGGTAAGAGGAGCAGAGCGGTCCAGCTCTACCACCGCGCGCGAGCGCGCCCCTGCGGTTCGAGGGTTTGTGCCTCTCCCTCTCTCTCTCGTTCTCTCTCTACTATGCCAGAGGAAGGGAGCATGCGCGTCTCCCTCTCTCTCTGTCTCTCATCGTTCTTCTCATCAATCATGCAACCCAGGTGCAGCAGCCGTGTCCCCAAGCGATCATCACCTGTGAATAACCTGAGCAGAATACCGAGCAGAATCTCGTTCGGCAGCACCCATACCGGCGATATTAGGGTGGAAAAATCCACACCGTTGTCCCGAATGCTTCGCCGAGAGCGACAGAAAGTGCTCAGACTCTGGGCAGGCACGGATGATGACAGACGTAAAGAGTCACCAGGCAAGCGCCTGCCCCTAAATCAAGAGTGTGTTGCATTTTCCAGGGTCTCGATGCGCTGTCGCATGACCGGCCCGCCCGGGTAGAGTTCTATGGACCAAGCACACCGTCTGCGATCACCGCTTCGATTACTTTCACAACGTCGTGACAAGCCAGCATATGCTAGACTGCTAAGTTGATAGGTGAGCCTGTTTTCTGACGCCAACAAGGGTACATGACACCGCCAGGCCCAGCAAGCATGCCATGAATGCCATGAAGATCGCCGACACAAGCGCCGCAAGCGCCGGGCTCTGCTTCCAGCTGCCGGGGAAGTCCGTTGGGCAACCCTGCAGAGCCTCACCAAACCGATATGTCGCGACCGTCAAGGAGAAGCAGCACCCTTGCTTAGCGTCTTGCTGTTTGGTGAAGGTCCTTGAGCACTTTCGAACTCACGACCTGAGTAAGCCAATCCATCTCACATCTGGGACCTGTGTGGTCTTGATCTCTTGATTTGTCGTTGCATGCACGTGCTCTGCATCCACAAAGCCAGAGCCGTGGACGAGCTGCGATTGTCTTCCTCGAAGAACGATGGTCACGCAGGTCCTGCCGACAGAGGCAAGAAAGGACGGCTTTCGGCGGCATAGCGAGAGACAAAACCGCATCTCCTCTTCATCCATGAAATCCTCGACCTGTAAGGCCGCTTCGGCATGGCGTTTGGATCTACCTGGAGCGGGAAGCGGACGCGGACAACAGTGACAGTGAGCAGCTAAGGCATCCAAGGAGCTAGAGCTGAAAGATGCCGGCTCCCACCCCTCTTTGCTCCCTACAGTGCCTCAGCACTGGCACGTGGAGTTCAGCCTTGAAGCGGTCTGCGGGCGCTGGACCCCAGTAGCCGGCGCTGAAGCCTCCCTCGAAGGCCCCGTAGAAAGTCCGCTCGCCACGAGCCTTCAGCTTTCGGGCTGCAGGCGACTTGTGGGGGTTTTCCCTGCCTGGCCTTAGCAACAGTCCCGTCTGGACGTTTGACCTCGACATACTCCTCCTGGCAAGTCTCATGCGCGAATGGGGCATCATAGGGAAGCAAAACCGAAGTCTCACCCTTTTAGAGCGCTTGCCGAGGTCATCCAGCTCATCCACATCGTATCTGCACAGGAGACATCGGGCGTTGGGTTAGTAAAAGCCCGTTTCACGGCTGCACTCAAAGTCTAACTTGCGCCCTCTCTAGCTTGGCGGCAGATTCGAGACACTTCACCACAAGAAGTTGGGACTAATTGCCCCTTAAGCAGCCATGGCAGAAATATCCGCTGAACCGATCAAGCAGGACGCGGCGAAGGAGATGAAAAGGCAACCGCATGCAACCGCAAAAAAACTCCGGTCGCAATGCTCCCCTTCGAAGATGGGCGTGGGCGTCCCAGTCTGCGCTCTCTGAAGGCCAGTGACTAGAATCGCGTGGTGCGGTGCTTCCCATCTTCGGCAACATGCCAAAAATTGCAAGCATACACTTCGTAGTCAATTTTTAGAGAATGAGGCGATGACTTTGACGAAGAGTTCACCACGAGTACGAGTAGCTGAAGCGTCGTCTGGGATGGCTGACCGTCGATGCAACTGATACTCATCATCATGACCATGACCATGACCATGGCGATAGTGATGGTCATCACATGCACGTGGTCAACGTCTTGTCGGCAATATACCGTAACGGTTGTGATGAGGATGCGGCTGACGATGACAACTTTGATGATGGTAATGATGGTGATGATGGTTACGAGCGAGCTATGAGTTGTGATGGTGACGATGCTGGTGATGATGACGATGACCTTCATAATGGTTATGATGGTCATGGTGGTGATGATGGTGATCGTTGTGGTGGTGATGGTGATAGTGGTGATGGCAGTGAGGGCGGTGATGGTGCTGGTGCCGGTGCTGATTATAGTCGTAGGGCCATGGTGACGGTGATGATGACGACGATGAACATGACTTGAGAGCCACGGGCCGGGACGAAAGCTCTAGCATGGGCAGGGCTGGCGACACGGAGCTCACACGAAGAGACACGGAAGTGAATTTCGGTTGCGGTCAAGTTCGCCACGCGCAAAAAACGACACTGACAAATGCCAAGTTTGCTTGCTTTTCGCTACTGCTGCCAATACAGACAAGGGCTTGTAATGTCATCAACACATGGCTGTTCCATAGCGGCAACCCATAAGCGCTCAATTTCACGCAGTGGAACAATTCAAGTACCAGCTTTTCCCCGAGAGCCAGACTCACACGCGCCCACACACCGGCGGGAATGAAGCGGCAGGAGCAAGCCCGCATCGCAGCAGACAAAAATGCAGAGAACAACACTGCCGGAAGTAATTTTGATCCAACATGTCACGAAGAGCGGTTTTGAGCCAACATGTCACGAGGAGCGGTTTTGATGGCA